GGAAATGGGTTTATAGAATTCATGGGGATGAGAGAACAGATGTGACCACACAGTCAATCCTCCTACTGGTTTCTCCCTGTATATGCCTTGTTCTGTCTTTTCTCATTGCTCTGCTGCACACTGCATCTCTGGTGCTCACACGCAGTAGGGGTGCATACACGATTCTGACTACTTATGTGAAAAAAGTGTCTCTCTTTTATTTCCTTGCAGCCAACCCCTTGGGTATTCTTATAGCAAATGTGCTGTCACCTGCACTAGTTCCTGAAGGAAAGCACATCCCATTGATGGTAAATGAGAACTGCTTTAATCAACCAGCTGGGCTATTTGAGGTCCAGCTGGTATGTTTATTTGTAGGCAGTGGGACTGGAAAGACTGGTAACATGTCTTTACTTTGTGTTGTGTAGCTGGGTGTTTATGCTGTCCCAGCGATAGCAGCCTGTGCTCTAGCAACTGTGGGGATTCACGAGAAGGTTCCTCCAACACCTCCTTCGGCCAGTGCCACTAACTCCACCTCCCAGCCATTCCTCACAGGGCTCAAAATGGTAAGTGCTGTAATGCAGAAAGAAACCAATACTGGAGTGAGGGATGCAACCCTGCTATACAAGGGTATGCTGAGGAATATGCTGACAAAGCAGACTCTGAACTCCACTCCACCAAACCTGCCATGGAAAGCCCCCTGAAGGAGACCACGATCCCTTCCTTCCTCAGAGAGTGAAAGCTGCTCACAGCAAAGCTGCAAGAGATGCTGACTGTTCAGCTGTGGGTTGGCAGCCATTTAGCTAGCTCAGACAGTCACACCTGGGCTCATCCAAGAGGACCACACAATCTGAGGCTTCTGAGCAGATGGGGTAACAGGTAGGACAGAACATGGCAAAGTGAAGGAAGAATTTAGGCACTGAAGAGATCCTTCCTCCCTACATGGACTCCTTTTAACTTGTCCTCTGGCTAAACTGACAGGACTGAGCCAAACTCCTCTAATGATCACAGGGTTGCCCTGTCCACATTTCCAGCTGAGGGGTCAGAAAGACTGACCCTCAAGTCTACTGTCACAGCCAGGCCATTTTTCCCCCTCCACTTGTTTAAATGACATGTTAACTTCTTTCTCTAGCTCCTGAGAAACAAGCCATACATCATCCTGGCAGTGTGCTTTGGAGGAGGAATTGGGATGTTCACCTGCTTTTCAGCTCTGCTGGAACAGATCCTTTGTGAAAAGGGGTATTCAAATGTGAGTCTTCCTCCTTTTCTCCCCATTGTCTACATCATGTGTGATACAATCAAAATTATTTTCCCTGATAAGGGACTCAGAACAAAATGAAGACAGTTGAATATACTGCACTGTCTCATGTCTATTTGCTCACATTGTCTAATATAGACTAAGCAGTACACTAATCCAGAGCACAGTCAGTCTCTCAGGATAATGGATGATCTTCATTTTCATTACTGCCCGTGTCCAGGCTCCCATTTGCAAATGAAAAACCTTTACTCCTCAAACACTTTTTAGAAAAAGTTATTGTGTTTTTTCTAAGCCACTCCAGAGCACTGATGTCTATGCAGCCTTCTGACAACTTCTCCAAAGCAGGATGGGCCCCAAGCAGGCCCCAGAGTGAAGCTGAAGGCAGGCTGATGCAAATGCCTTTTCATAGAATCATAGAATAATTCAGGTTGGAAGGGACCTTGAAACGTCAGCTAGTCCAAACCCCTGCAGTCAAGCAGGGACATCTTTAGCTAGGTGAGGTTGATCAGAGCCCCATCCACCCTGACTGTGAATGTTTCCAGGGATGGGGCTTCTACCACCTCTCTGGGCAGCCTGTTCCAGTATTTCACCACCGTCATTGTAAAAAATTTTCTCCTTATATCTAGTCTAAATCTGCCCTTTTTTAGCTTAAAACCATTATTCCTTGTCCTATCACAACAGGCCCTGCTAAAAAGTTTGTGTCCATCTTTCTTATAGTCCCCTTTAAGTACTGAAAGGCAGCAATGGAAGACCTTATGGTCTCCCTGGAACCTTGTTTTCTCCAACCTGAAAAACCCCAACACCCCAACATAGTCTTTCTCCATAGAAGAAGTATTCCAGCCCCCTGATAATTTTTGTGGTCCTCCTCTGGACCTGCTCCAACAGGTTCACGTCTTTCTTGTAGTAGTAGACAGGGGCAATCACCTCCCTTGACCTGCTGTCCACACTTCTTTTTATGCAGCCCAGGATACAATTGGTCTTCTGGGCTGTGAGCGCACATTGCTGGCTTATGTCCAGCTTTTTGTCAACCAGTACCCCCAAGTTCTTCCCTGCCAGGCTACTCTCAGTCCCTTCATCCCCCAGCCTGTATTGATTTTCCTCTTTGCACAATCTTACATGAAGCCAGGGCAGTGAAGGAAATCACAGCTGTTTCCCCATTCTTCCCATGACACCGGCTAGGGGCTCCTTTTCCAGTTGAGCACAGTGTTCCTCCTGCTCTCTTACTGCAAATTCCCCAGTTCTTGCATTTTCCCTCAGTCAGGCAGCACTTCAGTCCTGTTTCTTTATCCCCATGGATGTCCTTTTAAAACATCTTTTCAGCTGTTATATGTGCACATCTACGTGTCTGGTCTCTGTCCACTCCCTCTCAACTCGTGGTCTGATACCTGGCTCAATGCTCCGTGGCCAGGTCACATGTGCACACTCCATTGGCTTTTAACTGGAAACTCCAACCCAAATTTTTTAAAGCTTCCCTGCTTTCAGGATTAGGGTCTGCATTTGAATTCTTATGGAGCTGAAGGAGTGGACACGCAAAGATAATCACCTCAGGCAACAGAGCATTTATCCTACCCTAACTACTGCTCACTTCCTCTCTAATTAGACCTCCTTCCTACAGCCAGGTGATGCTGTGTCTAACCTGACACACTTTGAGGCTGCCAGCCTTGTAGAAGGTATTCCGCCAGTGCAGGTCCCTGGTCCTGGGTAAGAAAAGGGCCAGGAGCATGTTTATAAGCAGGAACAGATGCCAAGGCAATTGGACCGGTTACCACCAGTGTGGACAAGGCACCTAATTGCCCCTGGAGGAGCCCAGAACAGTTTCATGCCCAGGCTGGAGCATTTAATGCCAGGGAACTGCCACTGCTCTGCACCAACACTCCCTTGCCAGATGTGCAGAGACTTGTCATCTGTTGACACCTTGAGAGTGCTGTGACCCGGCTGTCCCCACACACTTGTAGCAGCACCTGGGCCTCATTATTTGCTACCCAGAGCCCTGTGGAGGCCTCAGCTATTGCAACACACGGGGAAGCTTTTTCTACCTTGGTAAGTGACCCACTAGCAGCAGGCAGATGATCAGTGACACTAAAACTTCTTCCTAACTGCTGTAGTTGCTCAATTACTTCTTCTTCTGTCCTCCAGGAATTTGCTGGCCTGAATGGTGCACTGTTCACAGTGTGTGGTTTGTTGGGTGCTTTCCTGCTAGGCCTGTATGTTGACCGGACAAGGAAGTTCATAGAGTCCACCAAGATTTGTTTCTGTCTGAGTGCACTTGCCAGCACCATGTTCGCAGTGGTGAGTTCTCCCTTGCGGTGCATCATACCTGTGGACTTAGTTCTGTTGCCATCTGATAAGTCATCAATGCAAACTAAGGTCGTTTGATGTCATAGTATTTATTAAACCACATGCTTAATACAGGATTATGCTGTGGGATTATCTCTCTGGGCTAGGAATATTCTAAAGAAAAACCCTTTACTGAGGATTTTACAGCCACTGTGGAGGATGAAACAGCCTGCTTCAGGTTATAAATAAATTGGCATAATTTTATTTCCTTACATTGGATGACCTTGTTTGTTTACTGTCCCTGAGACCATTCTTTCCAAAAAGAAATGGAATTGTTAAACATGCATCTTACAAAAATGAACAAGAATGCCATAGTTTTCCCAACACCTGCCTTTAACAGTGGTGGCTGCCAGGAGTGTAAGGTTAGTAGACAGGACCTAGTTATCTTCCTAGTTCTGCAGTGGTTCCTCGAGGAGGACAAGACAAGGGAGATGCAAAAAAGGGGGACACTTGTATCCAGCCAGGAGGAAAATGCAGAACCCAGAGACTTTACACCCATGCAGCTGAAGTGTAAGGACTGCACTCAAGCATAGCCAGTCATTGCCAATGGGAGCCATCACCTAGCAGGAACCTGAGCATGAGGCACAGGACTCCTAGCATTCCAGAGGATCCAGACTGGAGCAGGCATCTGCTTTCCCAATGGACTTGTGCGGTGCATTTCTCCTGTGTGTTGAAAAATCCAGACTTTCAATACAGCATGACCACACCTCCCCCTGGGCTAAGATGCCAGTGATGTTAGTTCTACTTTGAAGAGACAGACAAATGCAATGTCTTTCTCAGTGTAGGACAAAGTGCCAAAAGCAGACCTTGCATTTCTGCCTTTAGTACTCACATTTGTTGGGGGGATGCTCTGAATACAAGTCAGCATGCCTGGGCTCAGGTAAATCACAGAGTAGACAAAAGACTTTGTCAGGAGCAACAAGCAAATCTTTCCCTCCCTCCCTTCTATCCACCCACTTCATCCCATACAGATGAACTACTAATTCAAAGTAGTAAAACAAAAAACGCCCATTCAAATCTGCTTGATGCCTTGACACTTTGAACTTGGATTCCTGACACACAGTGTTTTCCTTGACTTTACCATTTTAGCTGGGCCAGGCCTGCCTGGCATGCCAGGACAGACACCTTGTGTTCCTCTGTGGGAATTTATTATATGGTTAAAGAAGGAGGTACTAGCACTGTGGCTGCAGGATTTATGCCCTTGACTTTGCTAGCATTGGCTGGACAAGGCCATGCTCTTTCCTCCAGAGTTAGGGGCAAGGCTGTTCTAGGCACTAAACTAATCTCCAGGGCTTGTGAACTTTTCACGTGGGTTTTTTTTTGCTTTGTGGGGTTGTTTTTTTTGTTTGTTTGGGTTTTTTGTTTTGTTTGTTGTTTTTTTTTTTTTTTGTGGTAAAACCGCAATGTTACAAACATGAGTCTGTCATGATAAAGAATAGTTTTCCTTGTCAATCAGCTGCAGCAACCCAGTGAATTGTCATACATAACCCAATGCAAACACTGCTTCTGAAATGTTAGCTTGCATTGGGAGGAAGGCATGTGTTTCCACTTGGTGCTGGAGATATGCTGAGCTCGCTGCTGGTAAGTGGCTGACAAGAAAGTCAAGTAATACGACCACACCAATGCTTTTCAGGTAGTTCTGATGATCCTCTCTCCCCTTACTTGAATTCAACAGATAAATCTCCATTGTGTAGCCATTTGTTGACTCTAGAGGGTTGGAGGTAAAAGAGATTTCAGGAACAGGTAGGGAAGGTACTGGTGAGAACAGTGAGCCCTTGGGACTTCCTGCAGGTTATGGATCAAGAGACTTTCTGTGCAGCAGTGCTGACACTGCAACTGGTGTTGCTTTTCTGCCTGCAGACTTCTCGGTTCAGACATCAGGCCATCACACTGGCCATCACCAGCTCACTCTTTGGTTTCTTTGGTTTTGCCATCTACCCCATTGCCATGGAGCTGGCTGTAGAGTGCTCCTACCCCGTGGGAGAGGGCACATCTACAGGCCTGATTTTTGTTGCAAGGTAAGCACGCACGTTAAATCCTATTGAAAGCCAAGTTTGAGTTCAAACACACACACACACAGAGGTGTGTGTGCAGAT